AAGTCTAGATTAAAATATGTAAATGCTTAAAAACTGATATTTATATTTGTAAGTAGAAATTATACAGGGTAAAATTTTATAGAGAAGAAGCTAAGGATAAATAAAAATTCACGTTGTGGTAAGAAGCCTAATTAGCGATAATTATTGATTCAGTTTAAAAATCAGTTAATTTTAATTATCTCTTGTTAAATATTGAACACTAAAATAATTTCAGAAATTGATGCTAATATTTTTGACATTTGACATTGACATTGACATTTTCCTAATGCCCTTAGTTTTGTAAAAGTACTAAAATCACAGAATTTAAATATTATCATCGTGTGTTTTAAATCAAAATGTTCACCGACCAATTGTTCATGCTCTAATTTTTTGCCCTTTATAAATTGTACATACATACACTTAACGTTATTCGTGTAATGAGATATTTAGTGTAAATATCAAATATGTAATATTAGTCTTATTGATATTTATTCAATATATTATAATCTTGTCACCTTAGAAAATTCAGTATTAGTTCAATCGGGTATTTGTGTAAAACATTTTATGTTGTTATTTTCTATATTAATAATGCTATGATATTACTTTTTATACTCATTTATCTATATTATTTCGGGAGCTTATTAATAGATGCTTTTAATATATGTATAATTAATTATATTCTGAAATGGTCAACTTGTAGTCCATGGCTGTTTAATTTGGAAAACATAAATTGATAAAATAATAACGTTGGTTGTAAATGATTAAGTAGACATTATTTATCTACCGAACCAAAGTACACATTATTTATCTACTTCGTTCCTATTTACAGAAGTAAAATATTATAACATATTAGTAATAAATTCGCCAAAATGTTTATATTACTTTTTAGAAAACTGACACTTAGAAAAAATAGTAAAATACTGTAGGTGAAATTATTTTTTCTAAATTGTAAATCTTTCTTAGCGTGCCTTCAAACGTCAATTTATAAAGCGTTAAGCTTCTTTACAAATATATCTGAGTCTTATTTATCGTATTATGCATTTGTTTTTGGGTGTAAGCTTTTCCTCTAAAGGGTTGTCATATCGTAGATAAAATAAATTTATTTAAATGAAAAAAGAAATTTAAAAAATAATATTGCAAGAAGTATGCAGAAAAAACCATTTGCCATTTTCATGAATCAAATGAACTTCAACATTTTGATGTACTTTAAAAAAATATGTAAATATTTCTTATTTTTTCTTCATAGATCTATTTTTTGAAACTATATATACTCAAAGTAACCTCAAGTAGAAAACTTTATATCGCATTGTTTTGGTTTTCCTTTCATAGTTTTAACAACATGTTAAGAAATGTTTGTATCAATTGATATTTGATGTATAAGATATAAAAATGTAAATCTCAACTAATTGTATAGGTCTAAAAATTTGGTCTATTCATTCGTGTAATTCAAAATCATTAAATACTACTTTTTGTGAAACGGATATGAAACTCTAGGGCCCTCTATTTCGAAATAGATATTGGTTCACATTTATTATTTACGATAATTATGTAAAAATGTAGCTAAAAACAACTTGAAAGGTTTTTAGTAATTATTGAATCAAAACTTTATTCTATCTTACACAAAAGTGTTTATGTTTCACACTAGTTTTAAAATTTGCAAATTTGAGATGTCAACAGACATTAATTATAAGAATAATTCACAAATGGATTTGTGACGTTTGTGAATATATATCTTCTATTTTTCGTGAAAAGATTAGTATTTTTGTAAACATATACCAAATTTTCATAATTGCATTGTCACTCTAGTCCAAAATGAATTTCTTTAAATTTTACATTCGGAGAAACAATCTGGGGCCTTTTTTGTTCTCCAGTTTTTGACATGAAATTACTTTAAAATGTTATAGAAACTTTGACAAAGAATTCGAGCAATCGAGCAACGTTATGAAAGAGACCGACTAAGACAAATGTCTCACTTTCAATCAACGCCTGTACGTCCTGACACCGGCCCATCCGATTTTTGATATACTTATATCCTTTGTATTTCAAGGTATTGTTAGGCAGAGATCTAATTCATACATTCTTGACATTAGCTCTGTAGATATTAGTCGTTAATTGGTATCTATAGTTCTGCTATCTGTAGCTTACTAAACATTTAACCAGTATTTTTAGACCTTTAAAATGAGTTGACTAGTTAGCAATGTATTTGTTCTGTTCGCTGATTATCTAGAAGTTTTGGAGATTATATAAACCAATGCCTGTACTACTTATATTGTCCTTATATGTAAATAAAAATTCACTCTGTTGCACACTTTTAAAACAGATATAATTCTAAATATACTTACTCATATGAATGTTAGTAAGCTTAACTTATCGGTATTTGTTTTACTTTTCTCTAGTCTGTGGAAAATATTCTAGATGATCAGTTATTTGTTAATTTCATATAAATTTAATTAATATTGTGAATATACCAATACCAAATATCAAGGAAATATATTATCTCGAAAATTTAGTCGAGTACATAATCTTAGTGTATATTAATAAAAATATATTTTAAATGTAATATAACATTGTTAATGTAATAGATTAAATTGTAGCGCCTTACAAAATGATGTTTTTTAAATTGTAATTTGTATATTATGATATGTATAAAATGTCAAAATGCGTGTTACAACGAGTCTTACTTAGATAGTGTAGAATTTTAAAAAAGCGACTTTGCTATTTACGTACCTTTATAATGTAAGTAGTTATCTATGTAGTAAGGCTTTATTTTCATTTTAGTTAAATACGCTCATTATTTTGATGTAATACCACATCATCTGTTGACCCTTTTGACGCGGGGTTCACAATTATATCATTTTGGCGTTTTGTTTCTTCGTCACATATGCGTATTATGATAGTTTGGACGCGAAATGTTACGCAGTGATGTGATACGAAGCCGTACATTGATCATAATACAAGTAGAGAGAAATGATACGCTAGTATGATACAAGAATGGACCAGACAAATGTGTCATACAGCTGAGTAGAGACCGATTGAAAATAATAAATACAAATTCAGTTTCTTCCCTAAATTATATTATGAAAAGTAACTGTCCCAAAGCTGCTTGTTATAAAATGTAATACATTGGATGGGCTTCGACAAAGAAATTATCTCGTTCCGGTTCAGTAGAATGTTACGCGTCTGTTTGAGTTACGCTTTCATTTTGCGACCCTACTAGTTGTGAGATTCTTCGGTTTCGAGTTGTCACCCTTACAGGTGGAATATTTTATTCAAAATTGAATGGGACCACTATTGAGGTAGGTACTCCCGTCGCAATAAAAAAGATCGCGTAAGTTACACACAAATAAAAAAAATACAGTAGTCAAGTCCGCGAATTAAGTGTCTTTATAAAATCAGTCATTAAATTCTTGGGTTTGATTGGCTGTAATGGAAACCAGTCACATGGTCATCGTAAACAACATTTTGTTTATTTCAATAACATTTTTGCAGTGCGATTTCTCGTCAGGTATAGCATGTATCTCATGTTATGCTAATTCTTTTATTTGTACCAAAACGAACACAAAAGAAATATTAATTATACAGAGGGTGAGCAATCTCAATTATCTACTTTAATGTAGACGCCTTAGAACATGTGATTGGCAATTATAGAAATTTAATTACCACTAGTATTTTGAAATATATCTTCTATCAATCTTTATCTATCTCTCTCTACAATATCTCGTAAAAGTAAAGTCGATCTTGCGTGGTTTTTACTGTCTTTGTAGGACTCAAAATTTCAATAAAATGTCATAGCCTTTTTAAATAAATGTGATTACAATGGAATATCTGATTTTATTCTACATCTCCCCTGATGAAAAGTGACGATGAGGTCAATGATGGAGCATGCACATCTATATAATACCTATTTACTCTTTGAAAAGGCCCAAGTTATAGCGTTCTGGGAACAAACCTGGAGGCAGTGAATTCCACTCTAATGCCGTAAGCCATATAAAAGTGGAAGCGTAACGCTTCGTGAGCGTCTTGGGTATATCCACATCATAGTGGTGGAACCCCAGGCTAACGTATTACCCATTAGCAATAACCAGGGAAGTACTGCCACCTCACCTATTTCTGCTGCCAAGCAGTAATGTGAGTAGATAAGGGTGCGTGTGAAATTACAGACATATGGGATTTGTCAACTTGTATGCCAGGATGTCTGGCATAGTGTCCCTTAGATCTGCGATTTAAATCTCTCAAGTGGCACTGTCACTGCTATGGACAGGCGTGTCGCTTATCACCAGGCGCACGAATTTTTCGTCCCGTCACATAATATTTATGTTTCATAAAAAAGACAACATAACTTACTAATTAATCGCTATTAAATAAAGGTCATATAGGAAATTGTGAAACGGAAGCGAAAATCTGCTTACAATAAGATTAATTGAAACTATTCATTGAAATGGAAATGTAATAGACCTTATTGGCAAATACCTATCATTATCACCAACGAATGTATATCGAAAGTTGTATGACTAAATACATAGCAGTCAAGAATTTGTAAAGGTTTGGAGTAAGGACAAAATGGAAAGAAAGTGTGGTTTTTAGAGTTTTTTTATTAAACAATTTAGATAATCTGTTTATAAACAACAAATATTTACAAATAAAATTAAATTCAAGAACATCGCGGTGACTAGATTCATTTTGTATGATTGAGCACATCAACAACATTGCCCGCACATATTCCCCACATATATAATCGTAGTTACTCCATTGTATAATAATTAAAATGTTCGTATAAAAACCTGCCAGTTTTTTCGTTCGTTTCATATAAATAATTATAATGATACCATCACAAGACAATCAAAAAAACGATAAGAGGAAATTAACACTCCAAAAATATCTAAAATCCAAAAATTATAAACTCACAGAAACACCAAAAACTTAACAATATTAGAATATCACTGTGCAATTAATAAATTTAAAATAAAAAAAGATAAAATTTGTATTAACAATCAGATAACGAAACGATAAAAGTTAAAGGACGGGAATTAATAGTTTTTAATTTATGAACTAGCGTTATGTCTAAAAATGTATTGATTTTAAAATATTTATACTGTTATTTTACATTACAACTGTAAATTAGTTGTTAAAAATACTTTTCAACAATTGCGCGCGTATCGTGGATGTTTTATTTGAGGTTATTTTCGCGCGGTTTCGATGCGACCATTTATTTTTGGCGCGATTTTCCGCGGTGGCGGAAAGCGTGTTTTAAAAATAGAATAGATATTGTCGGGCGATGGCTTCCCGTGACGTCGTCAGGTACAGTATTTGCCGATTGATTTTTATTATGCCAATACTCAAAATGCTTTTGGGTCGACTTCAACTTAGGTGCCTTGACAAGTAAGGCTACCGCCCTAGAAGGTCATCCCGAGCTTTCCTGTTTGCTGTACCAGTATAGGTGTTTAAAAATATTTTTGGTTAAAGCCGGTTTTTCAGCAAAAGCAAATTAGTAAGTTTGGTGTTTTAAAATTTGCATGAATGTTTCTTAAAGTAGGTGTGTCAGTCATGGGCCTATATTATATGGTCAAAGACCGAGCTTATAGTTCTAAGGGTCCGAAGAGGTGCTTCGCTTGGCAATTCTCGTTCTGCTCGCTGAGGAACTGCGCGAACAACTCCTGGTATCTGGAGAGTGTGAGACCACCGACCTTTCGGTCGTCGTCCTGTGAACAATATCGTTTCTTAAGTTGCCACTGGAACGGTTACCACTTAAACATTATTATCGTAGGCATCATCAATCTATTTCAGATTAACAGTGTTTGTTAGATTTTCTATTTTTATACAGTGTTTCTCCATTATCGCAGGATAGTGTGTCATTGGTACATATGAATATAATTACTGCTTCTAAATAATCTACAATGGCCAGCCGATTATTAGAGTATTCGTATTAATTAAACAATCTCAATACAGAGTACTAAAAAAACCGACCTCAAAAATCATTCATCCCCTAGTTTGCCGCCCTTAGAAGTGAAATACTACTGAGGTACCCTCTTTCCAATAAAAAAGAATCATCAAAATCGGTTCACAAGTTATCGCATAACATACATTACAAAAAAATAAAATCGAATGAAGAACCTCCTCCTTTTTTGAAGTCGATTAAAAAGACATGCCACAACAAGATTTTTCAATCAAGGAAGTATAATAAAGAGGTTTCGCTGATAACGTGCCAAGTCTTATTAACAATATTAATTGCATTTAAGAAAAAACGTGTGTGAAGCAATAGGAAATAAATTTATTGACACATTGTAACGTTTCTTTGGACTAACGCCAGAGTAAGCACAATAAGCTTTAATTCTATTGCATGCTAGGTATCTAGTTCTTCGTCTTTCAGTCCATCGAAAATCTATCTAGATATGCGTGTGACTTTTAAAGCCTTTAGCCTTTATTCTATAATTCTATAATACAATCTGACAGTACTGTCTCCCATACAGTGTGGGTAAAGGCAACAAACTGTAGACAAGTGAAATATAAAAAGCGATATATCACAGAGCATTTAAAATTAGTATGTTTTATTAAATTACTAATTGATAAAAGTAAGTCTCTCTTTTAATCCATAATTATACGCTTAAATAGATTTTAGGTTATGGATAACCTCACATAACCTAACATAGTCAAGCGTTTACATTATACACGTATTTGAGGTAAATTCTTTTACAAGAAACATTTCCCATGCTGTTTGTCATCGAAACGTAAATAGGCACCACGTTTTATTTAAAGCTCTCAAGTAGTTTCATGGCAATTTAACCCAACAACCATACTCAATAGGTGCGAACTAGGAGCATAACGTCTAGTAATTAAGAAGTTAAATCGATCGCAAAATACCAAGTGACATCAATTTAAATTGAATCGTTTGCCAAACCGACCTGGTATTTTCAGAACTCTGTAATAAACCGCGTAAATGTAAATGCTTTAGCTATTTCGTATTGTAATAGGTATTTGGCTTCATAATAAAGTTCACGTGTCGACTTTAATCAAGTTTATTGTGTAGTTTATGTGTATTTTTAGGGTTCTCTTTACCTAGGTACGTTGACGACTACTTTTAAATAATCCACATAATGTTGCAAAGGCAATAAGTTGAGAGCTTATTTCTGTTTTATTTCTGTAGTCGTGACTAGCAGGTGTTGCAAGCTGTGACGCTATTCTACAAGCGTTAAATTACGCCTTTAATACATCTACAGCCACTTGAAAGCAATCGATTGTCACAGAAACACAAAGTAATTATAAATCACCATTTCCGAATATGCAAAATGGTCTCGGTTTAATTTGGTACGCATCATATTTCTGGATGCACGCCATTGTCTAGCAAAATGATTAAATAATTGCATAAAACGAGCAAACGACGCAACTCTGCACGGAATATTATTCACGCATTAAGCGTAATCTTTACTTCCATTAGATTATTTCCATTTAACTATAAATTAATGTTATGGAAACGATGAATCAGTCACACGTTGGGCGCCAAATTAGCAAGTGCTGAAAAACTTACATTTAACAGTGAGTTGAAAGCGTCATCTATGACTTTGATGTCGTCGACGACCATCCTCTGGACGCAATCATATCTATACTCCTCTACACCGATCACACCATCGGCGTTAATGTCAATCATCTTGAAGTTGGATTCGATGAACGCTTTCATGGCCTGAGGGAATTCATCATATTTCTTGCCTACACAGCTGTTTTTCACGGCGGTTTTGAACTCGTCAACCGAAATCATGCCGTCCTGAAAATGGCATCAACAAATTAGAACTCTCTTTTACGGGGGAGATACTATCACACAAACAAAGCGGTAAGCGTGTGCGGTAGCTGTTGCGTGTATATCATACAGATACCTACTGTATTCAGGTGAGTGCTGTTCAGTTTCGTGTTGTTTCTGAAACCGTAATTGATTGAGTTCGTACGTTAGTGGAACACAAATTTAGTCACAGTTCCTTTTGTGAACTAAACATCCATTAAACAAAAAGGGTTTGGTGATAGTTAACATTGAATTATTAACGTTTTTAGAGAGATAGTGTTTTTCAACAAACATGCAGAGAGACGTGTACAATGGTAGTTCTGTGATTTTTTCGGTACTATGCACTGTTTTTCGAAATTATAGAATACATTTTTTTTTAAATTTAAATCTCGTAAGTTGATAATATTTTTTATTATTTGTCTAGTTCAGTACAACAATATTGCGTGTAGTTGCCACGTGTAGCATTTCTCGCCAAACTGAGTTTGCACAATAGGCGACGTTTGCCAAATAGACAACTAATCGGCCCAGATGCCAAACGTACCGATGATATAGTTTGACCTCTGTATTTGATATTTATTGTACATTCTATTTACTAACCTAATTATTGAACGTACCCGTGCACCTCGGGATCAAATTACCAAGTGTCCTGTTCTAGATAAATGTCTTGAATGTTAGTGGAGTTGCATTGTTTAGATTCATTAACTTAATTACATGGAACTCAAACTATTTATTTTGGATCAAAATAGCGTGTGTATGTTTTTTGAAAAACTAACGTTTCGGGACCTTCACAGGTCCCTTTATCACATAGGTGATATATCCTATGTGTAGCTAACAATCACAAAAATCTAAAAAATCGATATTAATTAGATGGTTTCCTCGAATATATTTAACCAATTTATTTGAGAAAACACGTTTAGATATTAACAGTGGTTGTATGTTTTCAGTGTGGCCACCTCGTGCTTATGAATGATTATTTGTGTCGTTGAAATAAGGACCATTTCAAGATCTTAATTCTCCGTCATCACAAAAAAAATACGTCGCGCAATTAAATTCAAATGTTTAGACAACTCCTCGATTAACAAACTTTTGTATTTCAATACAAAACATAAGTGCACAGGTACGCCCCCTACAGCATAGCCCAATCCAGCGTGCGTAGAGTAAAATGTAAAAGGAGGGTTCAACCGACATAGTCTGGCACCTTGTCGAAGTCAGCCAGTTGTGCAATTTCCTCCCAGAGGCTGAGCATCACGTGCTGGTACTTCTGGAGGCGGGCCGCGCTACAGTCGCCCTTGCCTTCCAGCACACACGACCTGAGGGCCAGGCACTGGAAATCCCTGGCATCCAGGTAGCCGTTGTTGTCGATATCTGAAAAACAGTCAGTTTGTGCTTACTATGTTGTAGAACGGTGATTTAACTGAATACCTACTTGGTAAATTAGATACGCAAAACTGAGTGCAATTCATGGATATACTAATATACTAATACAATTGTGTCAACTCATTTATACAATAATGTACCATATTAAATGCTTAAAACTGGGGAACATAAGTGTAAAAATAGGTATAAGCAACCATGAATATAACAGCAAAACTTATCGTGAAGCTACCACGTAAGACTTTCTTCTTCAGTTCTTGTGGAGACTTCAGAACCAGCAAAAAAGCAAATCTGACAGCATTGTAAGTAGAGCACATGCGATACAGTGGACAATGTTGTCGCTAACCTAGCTCTACAAACTACGGATGGACGATTTTTTGTTTTGAATCTATTTTTTTTATCGTAATGGATCATATGCCTCTGAATCGATCCACAGACCGGATCGTATGTTCTTCCATCGATCTCATAAAAATAGTTTCATAATTCATTCCGAAAAAAAAATTACAGAATTTTTGGCTTCAGTCATTTATGACTTTCTTTTAGAGATTTAGAGTGATATTAGCCAGTGAGAAAAGACGTTAAGATGGCACAGAAGTAGCGACAATCCCCAAATATTGTAAGACTTATTCTACTAACATTTAGAAACGAGAATAAACAGGAAACTAGGTAGGTGTGAAAAATACATCTTCCCGTTTCCAAATGTTAGTACAATGCAACGCGAAAGTTTAAAAGTATATGCAGACTTATTGTACTCAGATGTTGCCAACTGCTTTTCTTGCAGGCCAATATTAAATAGGGGTTCAGAAAGAGACTGTTTTGTTTAAATTAGGAATACGATCTAGACGATTCGATTCGCCTTTATGTTGAATCGAGAAATGAATCGATACAAAAGAAAAGATCGCTAGATCGTATACACTTGAATTATATCTTCATAAAAATCGAATTGTAATCTGCATCCCTACTACAAACAGAGAGCGAAAAGGTTTTACAGTTACCATGTCATGTTAATTAATGCCTGGTCGTTCAAAAGCAACTTTGGTAGGATATATACATATTTTATTATTATGGATTGATACAAAGCTTGAATAAACACATCGAGTATATAACATAAGGGCCATTTATTCCTGGTAACACATTAGCGATACAGCTCTTTTAAATATCAATTCCCGTTTGCACTGAAATATAGACAGGCCAACTACTGACCTGTGTGTACGTCTCCGTATATTCCAAAAAAAATTCTGTACATATTTATTGTAATAAAGATAATATCTCTAACAATGCCGTGCTGTTCTATACGGTGGTGTAGGAAAAACAGCAAAACATCTAATTACAAAACAAACGGAATCACATTTCATCGGTAATGAAATATTAAATATGTAATTTTGCAATTTTCCTCCATTATAGCAAAGCTCAAGTTAACTGGTCGATTTGAAGTGAAACAGTTGACTACACCCATTGACGACACCCGTCAATTGTTTCGAACTCGGGCTAGCCAATCGGAGCGCAGTTGTCACAGTAATGGTATGGCAGAATAGTTTTCAAACAAATTAAATGACATTTCATCTCTATTTCTGGTCATATACTCGATGAATAAACACAACGAAAAATTCCTTCAATCCGACAGAATTCGAACCGGCGTCTGCCGCTGCAACGTGGCTACCGCTCTGCCTAATGAATGAATACATATTTGATATAATATCGGTCAGTGTTTTATAGAAAGGGTGGAAACGCCATTTGGAAACATTTTTCAGGGGAGATTGTTTTAGGTTTTTAGGTTTTTTTGAAACACTTACGTCCTGTTTTTAAATTTTGGTTTTACTTAAGTTTTAAAGGGCGTAAATATTTAAAAACAGTCGTGATAAACTAAAACATGCTCCACTGAAAAATTTTTCGAAATGGCGCTTTCGCCGTTTCGCCGCGACAACATAAATACATTGACAGTATAAACATTTTCAATTTACAAAATCATGATTCATTAATCGCGTGTAATATTTGGCAGGTACAATCGCCAAGTAACATTGTAACAGTACATCTTCTATCAGGTCGCATTGCGTAAATAAGAAGCGGCTGCCCACTTGGCAGGTGCTAGTAAACAATAGAACAGTATTAATTTTATAGTACTACAATACAATGCCAAGTTCTACCTTTGCGTAACGCTTGATTTTTCTATCCTTATAATTGACGGGAATGATTTAGCGGTACGCGTGTGTGCAGCGACAGATTTATAGATTGATGCCAATCACGTCTCAATGCCAGTAAGTATCGGTTGCCTAGCAGACCACCTACTATTGTTATCTCTTCTAATTTTAATCTTAAGGATACAGAAATAAACATCGATAAAGAATACTACTGAATTCAACGCTGTTGTTTCCTGAGTGTTGAATAATGGGATTACTAGCCTTAGCCTTGTAGCCATAGAACCAGAATTCGAAATTATCAATATCTTTATGTTCCTTGGTAATTATCTGATATATTAATCCACACTGATTCATGGTTTTGTCTTTTATATTTTTGAATAAAAATGAGAAAACTAAACAAAAAATTGGGCTTATTACTTTTTTGGATTAACATTTGACACGTTTGGATATTTGAGGATGGAAAAAAATTTGGATACGTCTCGGATACAATACATGAAACGACATTCATAAGGTTAGCATTTTGTTGTACAAATGAATTTCATTAATATCAAGATACATTTACAGGGTATACATAAAGTTACATTATTCTTTGCACCGACACACACATACACAATTCGTGTTCCGTTTGTATGCAAATGCGTACTCATTTAGTTTTCTCACAATTCTCTTATCTCTTATTTTCCCTTTATAATTTTTATGTCATTAAGTAATAATTTTTAATTGCACGTACGTCACCTATTTCAAAAATTTCTTTAATAGTTGCATAGGATATATGGTTACGTTACAGCTGAAAATTGCATTGATAAGGCTCAATTTATTTTGCGGCGGAACTTATTGGAAGCGAATATTTGTAACGATATTGTACATAGCATTTGTAACATTCAAACTAGATACGAGGCAAAAACTTAGCTCAAAATATATTAGCTCGTATCTAGTTTGTAAGTTCACAAAAATTCGCTTCCATTCCGTTCCTCCGCAATATAAATAGAGCCTTAGACTTTGAAAATTAGTGAGGAATGTAGACTGTTCTCAGTTTTCTTAAACCTTATTGTAAAAAAGTTAATTTTAGAGAACCGTGTCGTTATATTTTATGAGTTCCTAAACAAAATTCTGTCGAATTACGTAAATACATTTGGTCCAAAATAGATTATCGTATCGATGAACGACGCGGTTATAACCCAATGAAAGATGTTGTATTTTTATGGCTTCAAGAGCGTGGAACTATCTACTAGTATTTAAGTAAAAAAAAATCATAAGTAAAGGTTAATTGTCTCCAAGATATGATGAATTATGAAATAATATGATATGATGCAAATAGATTCTTAAAGTAATCATTCCATTAGATAGTGTGTAAAGGTACACAACTCATTTTTAATGAAAACAGAAAAGAATCTCAATTTTTTTTCGCTTTTTCTCGCGTATACGCTTGACGTAGAGCTCATTTTACTATGGCATATAAAAGTTATTCTTGACATGTCCGTTTGTCTATCTCAATTACCCTTTGATGTAAATGTTTCATGTCACATTAGAGTCGCTTCATATTTCCCATTTATTAATTAATATGTCACCAAATGTATAGTATAATATCATTGAAATGTGTAGTCAACATCTGTCCGGACTAGCAGTAGACGATTTTTTCTGGGCAACTTCTTGTTTAGCACTTTACAGTCTGCATTTTTCCTCTAGCATATGACGTCGTTCTTTAAAGTTGCTACGACAAAGATGTTAGACGCCACAGTTTGGAATTTCATATTTCCAAACTATCGTGTCTGAAATTTTTGTCGTAAGAATTTACGTGAAAAATAATTAAATTTATAGGACTGAAGTCACTTTACACAAAAGCTAAAGTCTCTTTGTTTAACATACTTCGTTTGTAGATAATGAAAACTATCTTTCGGATCGCGTATATTTGTCTAGTTTTCAGTCAGCCGTGACGAAACTTTGGTTTGTTTAAAAAACAAATATATGTGATTTAGAGTGGTCACACAAGGTGACGTTTCGCAGCGATGCAAACGCGCGTTCCTGGAACGCGCGATTGGATCGATGCAATTTCTTAAAAATCCCAAGTGTAGCGATGGAATCGCGCGTTTGTATCGATGCCGTCGCGCGCTTGCATCGCTGCTTCAAACCGCGCTTCAAGGTAGACGATTAGCGACTCCATCGCGTTTGCATATCGCTGGTAAAAGTCGCAGTGTGTAAGCGCTCTTAGATCCAAACAGTTTCATTTCCTATGGGTAACATTCGCATAAACCAAAGAACTCGATGTGTACTTAACGCGACCGTCGTTGATACGTCCCGTTTTGAGCGGGACAGTCCCGCTTTCACTTCGACAAAACAGGACACGCGTGAAAATAAATATAATTTATGGCGCGAGAGCAAAACATCAAGTAAGCTTTGTCGCCCGGTTCTTTTAGTTGTGCGTCCGTATTATTTTTTATTAATAATTTTGGCTTGGATAAAAGTCCTTTGAGGCATGTCTTCGTTTAATTATGTTTCTGTAAATATGGCCGCCGCAAAGAGGATAGGCAATTTGAGGCGGCGTGCTTGGATTAACTCGGGATTCCTTAGAACGGGCCGATACGGGTATTTTAGTTCGAGATTCGTATAATTTCGCGTTTTAATCTTCTATTAAGGCACAATAGCACTATCCTATTTCACTTTAAACTAGATTTCACAAAATAATTGAAAGTCAAAATAAAAACGACACTTCCCTCCAAAAGGCCCCGAGCGAATCTGTGCGTCCGTACTGCGCGTGCATTGTTTATGGCGGTGATGTGCGGTTGACGACGGCTGCCGTAGAATACCTCACGTATTAAAGAAAATTTGCTCATCCCTAAAAATATATATTTTTATAAAGATAGCCCATGAAATCACATATGATTAGTTCTTTTTTTTATTTTTGATCATTAAACAGTTTTAGTTCTTACCGAGTTCTTAGGTTTTCGGATCTGAATCACGTATATTTGTTTTTTAGTACTTTATAAAAATATATATTAAACATTTATTACATGTCTGTCTTTTATTGTATTTAAGTATTTTATTTTTAAAACAATAATAAATTTACAGGCGTCCTACTCTGAGGGAGTAAATATGATCACGTTATTAAATACTTCGTTTGTTTTTAGCACGTTTTTAGTAACCTAGGTAGGTTGAGACTGTAGATTGAGGTTTACATAGATATACAATATTCCCTAGCTACAGAAAGTAGTTTATGCAATGACCTTATTTTTTTTATTAAGAGTTTTGGCTTGAATACAAGTCCTTTGAGCCATGTCTTCGTTTAATTATCGGGGTCCTCAGTAATATTTTCCACTGTGGTTCTAATACACTATGTTTTCACTTTCTTTTAAGTAACATAGTTCACTTAGTCGGGTTTTTTACATAGTTTTTTAAGCGGCGGGAGTCAATATTTATGTTTTCACTTTCACTTAAATCACATTATCTTCTATCACTTTGAATTCGTAATTATTGGAATTTTTAGGATAAAGTCTTTTGTAACTTGATTTAAAATAAGGAATATACTTCTAACTTTCTTCATCACTATTTATTTCTTCGTTTTTTCTTCATAATGTGCTTAAAATAAAAATAATCTTTGTAAAAGCTGTACTTGTAACTTCAAATGCACGCCATTTTTTTCGCAATGCCAATTTATACTAAGCTTTCTGGCAATTTTAAGTCATATGTTGTGCATAATCTTAACAATGCCAACTCTATTCTGCGACTCTATATCTTTTGTAGGTATATTTTGTCCCAAGTGGTACCATTAAAAAAAAACTTATTTTCTTAGTTTTCAAATCTCGTCAAAATGCCTAACGAGCCAAAGTCCAAACAAGTGGATTTATTACATAGTGCCACTTATTGCGACGCAGAAGAAAAGCATCTGTACAATTTCAAAGGGTATCTCAGTGGTCGTAAATTTCCATATTATACGAGTTTTTAGACGAATAACAACTGACAACCGTACATACAGAACTACAGACTTCCTAGGTCTAAAATAAATTCTCATAACACGATCATAAATCCGTTCTACTGTCAAATGACAATACAATTAAACGCATTAATGTGTCTTTTGTCTTTGAAACAAAATGATAATGTCCCTCTGCCACTCCCACTTTATGTAGTTATGCCAACATCAGGTTGTGATGTTGATTTATTTGGTGAATTTATGTAGCTCTATTAAAAAACTTGTTTAAAATAAATAGCAAAGTTATATACCTAAGCGATGTATAGAAAAACATTGATAAATAAATGTTATATCTTTTGTATCAGTATGTGCAATTTTCGACGAGAAGCCTTAAATGCCTCAAAGGCTGCTTACATTTAGCTGGTATTTCTTTTTGCTGGTGTCGCAATTTTGAAAGATTTTTTCGTAGTTAAATTGGTAGGCTTAGAATAATAACGCATAGAAACGTTTTTTACATTCATTTACCGCACATTTCGTAATTTTTAGCTAATATTCTTGATCTATTCGCGGTGCAAGTTGATCTTGAGTACTGAAGGCCCGCCCGCTCGTGTGGGCCCATTGGGCGCGCTTCAATTTGCCTCACTTAGCGTGTGCGGACTAGGTTTCTATGCGTTATTATTCTAAGTTGGTAGGTTTAATTATTCGAAATTTTCTTATAAGTTCAGTAGCTTTTATTGAAAACCTCATTTACTTGTCGAGTTGTTAGGTTTTCGCGATTTTTACACGTAGGAATTAATGTAATATTAGTTTTTTCTAATAAACCAACGTTTCGAAGCCGTCCACTGCGAGCGGAGAGCCGGCCTCACACGAACTCCGTTTGACTCGCAACGACAAACTTCAAAGAAGCTTCCAAAGCAAATGAGATTACAACTATTTAAGACTACAACTTTCCTGCAATACATTATTCCCCCTAATTTATTCAGATATGAATTATAAATAAATTTTAAAAAGGGTTAATTAGTTTGCAGAAAATGGGATGAAATAAACTTCATAGTGTTGACCATATCTTAAAACATTAAAACTGTTTTTTTTTACACAAAACAAAAACTGAAACTGATTCTGACTTACTCCACTGAGCCCGCTCGCTATGGAAGGCAAAATAAATATTTAAAATAATAACAGATTTCCATATTAATTCTTGCTTTGTAAACAATAGGACGTTCGGTAACTTTCATTCGATAACTATGTTCTGAATAACATTTGTAGCCTTTGCCGGTCGAAAAGTTCGAGTAATCGTACGGGTGTGACGTCATTTTGGTTCGGTTTCGGTCGACAACTGAGTTATCGTATGGTTCTGAATCGACCCTCTGCCCCATTTCATTTCCCGCCTAGCTCACTCCACTTAGCCCGCTCAATATGGTAGGCTATATTCTCTTTCATTGAAATCTTTCCTAAATGACAAAGCTATTTTACTCCGCTCCTCTTGGCTATTTCCAGCTCATTCCTTTTCGTAGTGGATAGTGGATATTAATCTCCCATGGTCACGGCTAGCTCAGTCATTTCCTAGTTTATTTACTTACTTTAAATTAGGACTTTCCGATTGTGCCTTAGTAATGACTTAGTATATGCGAATTATTAACAACAATAGCACACGAATGCATACAGTATAGTCTGTACATTGGGGAAATACATATTGTGTGTATTACGTACGGCGTACAAAAAACTTGAATAATGTAAATGAACCATGGAAATATTCATAAGATAAAAATGAAACGTTACAGAAAATCGACACCCCCGCTAGCGTCGATAGAGTTAGTGAGTTCAAAAATATTCGTGGTGTAGTTGAAAACTTTGAATGTCTAAAGAATTACGTGTTGACCTTCAAGGTGTTTGTATAATGTGAAGATTACCGTGAAGTTATCAATGCAGCTCGGATCTCGGTAACGGTAAAACTATAATATATATTATGCGTAATAAAATTGGCCAACACGGTTTATAAATATTTATTTTTGATTTAATTTGTATTTTTTTGTAATTTTGGTGGAGACTTTAAATTTTGATGGTCCAATAAAATTTCATTTTCACATATTTTAAAAAACTACTTGACATTTTGAGGGGTCGTTTACATATTCTTTTTGGAATAAATTTTTAGTGTAATACCAAACCATAATTTTTTCTTAAAGTTCAAAATTAAAAATCACCACCAAAATTAGGAAAAAAGTCATACCTGTTGAAAATGCCTGTACTCATTCTAGTGAGTGAAGACTGTTAGAGAAAATCGACTCCCCCGCAAGTTTCGATAGAGTTACTGAGTTCAAAAATATCCTCGGTGTAATTGAAAACTTTAGATGTCTGACGAATTACGTGTTAACCTTCAAGGTATCTGTATATTCTGAAGATTACCATGAAGTTATCAATGCAATTTAGATCTTATTAAGCATACATAGAAAACATGAACCCTGCAGGGCACCGCAACATAGAGATGAGATATTGTTGTAGTGTAGGTTCTATTGGTGTTTGCTGGTAGGGACTAGTGGAATAAGACTGTTTTTTTACGATATTAATGAATATATTCCCTTTATTTTCTTTTTTTATATGCTCGGACAGTTTGGAGTATATTTTTATCGCCATTGCGTATGGGTTCGATTTGTACAATTTTAATTTTGATGTCGGTACTACGAGATTATTTCCACATCTTGTTGGATGGCAATTGCAAACCAATTTGCAACGTTCACTTGCGATTATTTATACTAATAACGCACTCGCTTACTAATTTGACAGTGTATAAGTAAGGTACAAATAAATTCTAAGCTTGTGTAATTCTAAGTTATCAAAATCCTTTTTAATAAGTTTTGTAACTATAAAAATTTGATGTTTTGCATTATATTACGTAACTGGTTGCTGACTTTACCATATCACTTTGTTTGAAGTATAAAAAGAAAAATAGCTTCATTTTTTAATAGCTTTAGTAGACTACTATGGGAATACCTACTTTCGCTCTACGACATAATAAATGGGGGCAAATGGGCCGTTTAATGGATTATTGGCAAGAATTCAATTGCTTCTTTCTATTTATTGATGACTATTAAAGATTCGCATTTTTGCTATCACTCGAATTAGAAACAAGACAATAGGCTGGATTAAGTACCTAGGTATATTTGATTTTAGCTGGGTTTTTATTTTAACTGGGGATTTCAGAGCAAACCTCGATTGTTCTGTCACGTTTACGTCGGCAGTTTTGAAAAGAAATTCCACTTTCATTTTGACTGTACCTATTACTTCACTTTCAACACTTACTTACATGCATGTTATACCTATTTAAGAAAAACATTGAAAACAACACTTCTTTAAGTTTCTTTTGCACACGCGATGACATAAAATCACATGAATGTCTCTAACTTTATTCAATCAAACAGTTAATTTAAAATTAGACCATTGTTTTAAGGTGTCACACAAAAATTTCAAACATGTTCTGTCATGTTTTCACGTTATCCGATAAAAACACCACTGTAGTATAAAATCACTGACATCCCCCATGCACTGTAAATTTTAGTTTTAATTATTAAAAATACTTACCGTAAAGAAACCGAACAACGAACGCGACTCTGTTGTCCCAAGTATACGCCATTGTCTAAGTTTGAATGTGTCGAGGAAGGGATATAGCGCGGCGGCGGTCGCGGCTCGACTGCGGCCGCCACCCGCGCCACTCGGTTCCGAATAAACGGGCACAGAGACACTGAAGCGCAGGAGTCGCGCCGCCGGAAATATCCCTAGTCTTACCTAGGGCCTAGACCCAGCTAAATTGACCTGGAGTCCTAATTGTGAAACCTCAACGGCCTATTTTCCATTGGAGCTTATGCGCCTTGACTTCTTAATTGCTGTCTGAAGTTCGACGGATCATCACACGACCTGGACTTTGTTCTCGAATATCTACGGAATTGAGATATAGTGAGAAAAATGGTTTTCTTTCTTAGATCAGTTATGGTATTTCAAGTGGAATGTAGAAAAGCTTTTCTTTTCAAAAAACGGCTACTTAGTTATTTTACGACACTTTGGTTGTAGGTAAGTTCTACAAAGCTAGGTTTATTTTTACCTACCTGTCATTGAGATCTCTTCCGTTTTCAGACATTTGCTTTGATCTCGGTTTATATTTACAGATTTCTGTTTAAATTTGAACACATTATCAGATATTCTCTATACAGAAATATGTAATTCGAATTAGTTCTAGAACGCATTAACAAGTAACGGTCGGCTATACAAGCTTTAAGTTATAAATTATAAAAAAGTTGCAGATTTCTGTTTCGATTTGAACACATTTTCAAATATTCTCTATATTTTCCTATAGAACGCATTATGGTAAGCGTCGACAGATCAAACCAGTTACAAAAGCCAACTCGTAATCTTTTGGCATTATATGCCGAATTTTTGGAACTTCTGAAATCATCCAAAAAATCAGCTGGTCCATAAGAAATGCATGACACCTTTTTTTAGCAATTTCATGGGTGTCTTAAAGTTATACAATTATACAATGTAAAAAATGTCCTCTTTCGGGAAAGAAACTATTCGCAAAAAAAGGATGTCAGCTAACAAATTATCTCACTATATTAATAATTTTTTTTTTTGTTAACCTTAAACTATCGATACGTCATCATTGTGCCTACTGGAACTTGTGCAACATATAGGGTCGTATTCTAGAACTCTACTCAATGCTCAAGTCAGGATTGCAATTGAAACACACGCACTGGAAATACGACCCTATTTAAGGGTCGTATTCCAGAACTCTACTCAATGCTCAAGTCAGGATTTCAGTATGGTTTAAAGCACTCGAAATCATACTCAAGTCCCTGCCATTACGGTCGTATTTCCAGTGCTTGAAATCATACTCAGATCCTGACTTGAGCATTGAGTAGAGTTCTGGAATACGACCCAGTGTCGTTTCCAGAATTGTACTCAATGCTCAAGTCAGGATTTGAGCAGACTTGAGTATGATTTCAAGCACTGGAAATACGACCCTAATGGCAAGGACTTGAGTATGATTTCTAGAGCTTTGAATCATACTCAAGTCCTGACTTGAGCATTGAGTAGAGTTCTAGAATACGACCCTAATAAGAATCCACGCATCGTTAAGAACGTTCGCCGTTCAAGCTTCAGGCCGGAAAATTTAAAATGCTTATTCTTCTATAATAAATGTAACACCTTTGTAGGTATAGCTTTCGACGCCTTACTTTCTAAAACACGTATCCTTTATAGAGCGATTATTCAGGAGATGCAAAAACCTTTTTTTTTTCAATTTCTTATCCAGGGTGTTAATTTGAATACATTACTTGAAGAATCGGTAAAAGTCAAATGCGTGTGAATATGAAGGAAAGGCGATTTGAAATCAGCGTGTAAATTAGTATATAAAATGCATTTTTTGCATTTCAGTTATTTTGTAGTTACGAGTTTAAAAAAGTAAGGCGATGACGTTATGACAGGTTGTACACCTTCCAGCTTACATGTGAATAAAAAAAACAATTTAAATTATCTATTCCAAAATTTTTTGTAATAATTAATGTAGATAAATAGAGTTCATCAGTTTAAAACGCGCTATGCTGATGAATTTGTCTATATATATGATTTGCAGGGAAATATTTCGATATATAAGTATTAGTTTCAGTACATGTTTCAGTTTTAATGCATTACAACTTCCTGAAAACATTATTTTTGATAGACAGACATCATGATAGGACTATCGAGTCCCGGGACAGTTGGCATTCCGAGCTCGCAATGCGCGCGCAAGGCCAGTTGCACAATGCGCTTGCGCCGATACAATTAATAGTACACTAATTAGTAGGAAGGTTATTAGCGAACTATTAATTATCTTTTTTTTTTTTTTTTTTTTATATTACCAAGTGACGGGACGAACAAGTCGTGAGCCTGGTGGTAAGCGACACGCATGCCCATAACAGTTGCAATGTCACTCAGAGCTCTTTAAATTGCAAAGATCTTGGGGGCACTGCCTCTGCGCCCGTCACCCTGAGACATAAGTTGACAAGTCTCATGTGCCTGTAATTTCACCAGCACCCTTACCCTTCACAACCGGAACACAGTAATGTGACCATTACTGCTTGGCGGTAGAAATAGGTAAGGTGGCAGTACTTCCCTGGACGAACCTTTTCACAAGGAGCTCTACTGCTACTAAACGGCGGATAGCGCGATTAATTGCTTTTGTATTTTGGCTATTCATTTTATAAGAATATTTTATTCACTTGAAAGTATAAATAAAGACCTACAGTATGTAGTGACTAGTAACGTAAAGCATTGTTATAGTCTGAATTTAGACTAAAACTAACGACAGGAAATTCGTTGCTCAACAGTATCAATGATTAGTCTTTTGTAAAATTTCCACCTATGTGGTTCTCCATGAATGTTCTTTCATAATTATAACCAGTGATCAATTTAAATATACACTCAAAGGTACTGTTGGGTAATTTTCCGAAAAATTTGAAATAATGGAATTTTTCCGGAAAAAATTGAAAAATGCAATTTGGAGGCTCATATTATGTTCTACGTTTAGAAATATCTTTTGAAGTTTTATTTAGCGTGAATTCTTTTATAACTTGTTTAAATAAAAATAACATTTTATTACACATTAACTTGAGCTTTGCTATAATTGACGAAAATTGAAAAATTACATATTTAATGTTTCATTACCGATGAAATGTGATTCCGTTTGTTTTGTAATTAGATGTTTTGCTGTTTTTTCCACACCACCGCAAAAGGACAGCACGGCATTGTTACAGATATTGTCTTTATTACAATAAACACAGAATATTTTTTGGAATATACGTATACACGAGTCGGTAGTTGGCCTGTCTATATTTCAGTGCAAACGAGAGTTAATATTTATAAGAGCTGTATCGCTAATGTGTAACCAGGAATATATGGCCCTTATTTCGTCTCTATTTCTGGTTATATACTCGATGGCAAGATACTTCTTCACATTTTGATATTTCTTCTCCAACATGCATTAATAAAACGCAATTGACAGTTCGTTTATTTTGTAGTTAAAAACGCGATACAAAAACTTAGAGAGAGGACGCATATTTCGTATTTTGATCTGTCATTGTATATCAGTGAACTTTTTTGCCTGATTGAAAAACACAAAAGTCAAATAAATGCACAATTTGTATTTTGTGTTACAAAATTGATCAGATTTTCTCGCAATTTTCCCTAATTCGTTGATACTTTTAAAGTGTTATTAATCCAAAACGTACTTAGTATGCATTTGAACAAATGTGATAGATTATTTTTTGTATTATTCTTTTTAATCGGTATGCTGTTTTTTTTTACGTTTCACTAGTATTTAATAATATATATAATCACAGTTTTCGTTATAACGTAAAAGATTGATTAACTTTACAAAACTATAATGTAAACTTACTTCTACCACATACTTACGTATTTAATTTGAGGAATTGTAAGAATAATCTCGCATTTTTTTCCAGCCTTTACGACAGTCACGATACAATTTGATGCAGACGATGAAGCCGACAATTTTGATGAGTACGACACGGATAATGACGTCCCGAATGTCGACGAATCGGAGTCTCTTCTATCCAACGTTGTGAACGACATGAACAAAACATTAACAAATTTTTATAATCATGTGACTTCTGCAAATATAACCACTGACAACAGTACACAGTCAGGCAATGAGACTAAGAAACTCGTAAAATGCAAAGATATGGTATATGAAGAAGCCGATGCGGAGCCTGTTGTCGAAATAATCAATGGGAGTGTTTTAGCCAAGCTATTGCAGATAAAACCAGATGTTACCAGCAGAGATGTGGAAGCTGATTGTGTGTTAGTACTTTTCTTTGCAAGAGCATGTCCTTTCAGTGCACACGCAGCTCCACACTTCAATGCGATAGCTCGATCATACCCGAACGTAAAAATGGTTGCACTAGATGCTCTGAAATTCCATGGCATTAATGCACAATATGGTGTTGTAGGTGTTCCAACTTTGAAAATGTTCCATAATGGACGACCAGTCGGGAAATTCAATGGTACAGAATATAACATTCATTCATTTAGCAAATTTATACATGCTATCACAGGACAAAATCCGCAAGGGCTTTTGGTTACATCTAAAGATTTTCAAGGCCCTGTTTCAAGCGTGGTTGAGAAGGAAACCGACTACTTTTTGGTTACGTCCTGGTTATTTATCTTTGTGTGCTCAGTGTATTACTTCATGCAATCAAAATGGTGGCGTATGATTGTAGAATCGGTTCAAAATAATTGGAGAGAATCTGAGGCTCAACATGAACATAATGATTAGGTTAAGTTTTATTAATTTATTCTAAAGACTTAATAAAAATATTTCATTTTTTATTGCAATTGGCTTTTGTGTATTCATTGGTAAGTGTGATTACATGAGTAATCAGAGGAGACATCAAATTCTTTAAGGTGATAATTGATGGCAGGTCAGGGTTTGTTTTAATTGCTGGCTATGGTATTATTATTTTATTATTGTTGTTTATAGTCATAAAATAAATAATATTTCAATAAATAATGACATTGTCATTGATTTGAACTTTCATGATTTTCACACATTATTTGATTTTAAATCAGGACTTAATTGTGTATAAACATTTTATTTTCCTTTACATTTCAGACGCGTTGTAATGTATGGACATGTCTATTGTCATTCAGTCTTTCGAGACCATGGGGTCTCGAAGGGACTGAATGGCCATGGACGTTGCTACAAGTCCGAAACATAGATGACGTAAATAAAACATGTTTTTATTATTTATTAAATACATCATATTTTAAAATAAGTCCTGATTTAAAATCAAATAATGACATTGTAGCTTAAAAACTAACTTTTTCTATAAGCGTCACTTTAGCTCTGCTGGCATTTCCATGTTGTTCAGTGCGCCTAATATATTTTTCGCAGTTAATTCACTCATGAGGTTTCTTGCTTCTATTGTGGCACTACCAATATGTGGTAAGATGATACAATTTTTCAGCTTGAACAATGGGCTGTCCAAAGGCAGAGGTTCTGGAGTTGTAACATCCAAACCAGCTGCTCTGATAGTGTTATTTTGCAATGCTTCTATCAAAGCATTCTGATCAACTGTTCCTCCACGACTGGTGTTAATGAAAATAGCTGTACGTTTCATTTTCTCAAATGCTTGTTTGTTGAAAAGCTCTTTCGTTTCTGGGACTAAAGCAGCACAGCAAATTACAAAGTCACTCTGCGCTAAAAGTTCGTCGAAAGACACTTTGACTGCTCCAGTTTCCTTAGCTTCTGGTTTTTCACTGCGGTTATTGTATAATATTCGAGCAGTATCAAAAGCTTTGACTCTTCGTGCTACAGCCTGGCCAATTCTGCCGAACCCAACAATGCCAACAGTTGCATCTGCTAGTCCAGGTCCTGTCATCCAGGTTGGGGCCCAGGATACCCAGCCGCCTGTCCTGGCTTCATGCATAGCTTCCGGAAGGCGTCGTGAGGTGCATAATAAAAGGGCCACCTGAAAAATGCAGTAGAAAGCTAAATATTATATAACTAGAAATTTGTATGTAGATAATAGAAAGATAATAGCTGTTATACTTAAGGATGTATAGCATACTTGAATGTCCAATCAATTACCATTGACAAAACAATTATTTGAAGAGACAGCATGACTAAGGTCAGCCATGAAAGTGAAAGTCAGGATGTTCTCTGGATTTGACTAGGGCAATACTGTCATGGGGAGTTTGATGCCCATCACTATTATATCCAAGTTTCGATTAAACTTAGAGATAAACATACCGTTAGTTCTGCAGTGGCTGCAGTTAAAACATCAGGAGTGTATCCAATCCGGATTCTCCTTTTTGTGCATTCTTGCACATCAATATGATCGTAGCCCACAGATATGGTCCCAATCACTTTAAGATCTGGTCCTGCTGCATCCAGGACTTCCTTGTCAATTTTGTCACTAAGGGAACAGTAAATGCCGTTGACACCAACAACAGCTTTAAGGAGTTCTGCATGAGGTATGGGTGTTGCCTTGTCCCAAACCTTAACATCACACCTGCAAAATTGAAAAAAATATTTTTAAACCATTATGAATACTGCCATTGGTCCTTTTATATTATTTTAAAGTATTTTAATTAAATATATGTCCCATTGTTGGATACGGGTTTTCTTTAACGGAAGGGTATACTCCTAACTGGTCTAAACTATAATATTCAATTGTAGCTATGTCTTGTTTTTGTTCCGTTGATGATTCCCTATAGTAGAGTGCTTTGAGTGCAGTGGAACTAAACTAAAATGTATTTGGAATTTCAATTATATTGCCATATCTAATTATTATGTATGTGTTAATCACTATTTTGACATATAGGGTCTAAAGACTAATGTTTTAAATACAATTCAGTACTTTTAATTTTATTTTACTGTATCAAACTTGTTGAATAGTAAGCAATAAATACCACAATTATCACATAACAATATCCTTTAAGACTCAGCAAAAAGTAACTTCACACAAGTGGAATTCATAATCCAAACACAAACATTAATCAGAAACTCACTCTTTTAATCTTTTATCTAGATTACTATTTTATATATTACTAGGTTTTTCTTGTGATAATATATTGTTTAGAATTTTCATTTCATTTTTATTTTTTATATACATTAAGTGCTGACTAAGTTTTAAATTATATCCCTCCATTATTTATCACTGACGCGGTATTTTACATATTGCTGTTTTTAAACATACTGGCTTTTATAATTTTGCCTTTAGATGTTCAAATTGTGCAAAATGCTGTTGTGAATTATACACCAAGTTTTTTATCAGTTAAAATAATAATATGACAACATCACGGTTGCGTGTTGCGGTTTTTGTAAACCATTTCCTTATCAATTTAGATGTATTTTCAATACCCCATTATAGTGGTATAACCATTCATATGTTGATTTTTATATGTATACATATAGTCATAATTATTTAATGTAAATCACACAAAAAAATTCAGAAAAGAAGAAAAATTTCAGAAATAACTACATTGTGAGTTCAACTTTGGTACAATATAATTAAAAAAAAATTGTAGTGACATACAATATTATCATGATTCATTCACCAAATTACTTCATGTCCAAACAAGAAATGAATAAAAAAAAAACAATAAAAACTTACTCCTTCTTCAAAAGATTGACACCGCACTCTGGCATATCAGAGCGAGTGATGTATACTCGAGATCTCGCTGCACTGCTGCTCATGTTGACCACGTTGTCGAACATACGACGACGAACTAAACTGACTACAAGAGCACTATCTTTATAAATCATCAGTCACGAAACAAGCGTCAACAAACAATAGTAGCTATTTAACTTCCCGGATTTCTTTTCAATGACAAAAAGGTCAATCAGTTCTCTGGCAAATACTTAGGAGGCGTCGCATTTGATGTGTTTTCAACGTCGCCCTTGAAAATCGAAGGCTTAGCGAAATATATCGTCAAATGTAAAGCGGCTACCGTGGCGAGAACAACTTTGCCTTTTGTTGACTTAAAAAATGATAAACCACTCATAATGTCTTCCAGGAGATTAACTGGATTGTTATATTTGAATTTTAATTATCAAAGCAAATTGAGTCATAAAGTTACTAAAAAATAAATAGTCACATAAACCTTGAATAATTGAAGAAAGTCACGCTGGCAGATCCCTTTGGCTGCCTTTGGCTTCTGTCATGTCAATGTCAGCTGACATTGACATTGTTTATTTGTCAATTTTTTTATAAGGATTTTGGCTTGGATAAAAGTATTTTGAGCTAGGTGTTCATAGTTTTCGGGATCCTCAATTATTTTTGTGTTTTTAATGTTGTACTTGTAGAATGGTAAAAATAACTTTGGGTTTTTTTTGAATAGTCTTTTAACTCTCTCTCTTTTAAGTTCATGCTTCCAAATAATTTGCCTTATAAATCTTGATCCTTCTTCCAGAAACTTCCTTAATGTTGTCATAATCTTAAATGAAAATTTTAAATCTTTTGCGCCCTTTCACTTTCAAATGTGACAGTATTCGGTTGGAAAATCTAAAATACCTTTTATTTAGAATCAAATACCTACTATTTAGAAAAAAAACACTCTAATCGTCTTCAAAAGACGATTAGAGTGTTTTTTACATACACTCTAATCGTCTTTTGAAGACGATTAGAGTGTATTTTTATATTAAATACAACAAACCAAAGATAAAAAACTTAAATGTTTGAATGTATTATTTTCAACATGTTATTGTATTGTCAATTTTCATTACGATTATTATTGGCGCGATAATATAAAAATTTAAAAGGGAGTAAGTTTTTTTCATGTTTAGCCTTAACACGTCTTTATTATTTACAGCAAAGGATAGGAAATAAATTAAATATTTTAAATTCTATTCTATTCTAAATTACTATGATATAAAAGAAACTAATTGAAAGAAACCGAGTTTTGCGAATGTCTTCCTGACACTAAACGTATGGTACCTAATATTTACAAACATATTTAGGATGCATTAAAAAATAAAAATGTTTTCTGACCTCTCAATGTAGATCTAATATTTTACAAATGCAGGTAACTTCACCCTTCGGAAGATACAATAGTCATTTTACTTGCAAACCATCATCTTAAAAGTGGGGCACCACACACCGTATCTATACAAGAACGTTACCGTATAACGTGTAAACAAACCAACAGTGAAACTTTTTGTGCAACGTGCATTCGACTAGTCGGTTGCCCACCGTACTCGCGCGAGCGCGAGTGGCGTCAAAATATAGTTTTTATTTTATTTTTACGAGTGACTGCGGAAAATTGTGAAACTAGTTTTTAATCGAATTTTTGACACTGATCGTGAATTTCGTGATGTACTGACTGCAATCGGATGTTGTAAGGTAATGACGAAGCATTTCTCATTGTTTATTGATTTCTTGGTCGTTTATTGTATCCAATCGAAAGCTGCTTGTGCCGGGTCGTTGAGTTCCTTTTGGTGAAGATTTGAGAAAGTCATCAACCCATTTGCGTCTCAATACGCGTGGGTTTCCTCTAAGGAAAGCGTTTAGGCCATGGTCCATCATGTAAGTTGGAGACTTCACACGTTTTCCAAGGTTTTTGAAGGTTTTTTTTATGATACCATGCCTGTCCATAACAGTTGCGGTGCCACTCGGAACACAAAATCACAGAGATCTGAGGACGGACTCTTTCACAGAGAGCTCTACTGTTACTAAATAGGTCGACGTACAGGTTTTTCCAACCAAACCAAACATCTCACGATGTTTTCCTAAAACTAAAAAAATTAATAAAATAAAAAATCTGTACAAATGTATATAGGTAACCTAATAGTCGCAGTATGCGTAACATGATTTTCCTACGGGACGGGATTTATTGTTAGTATAAAAACATAGTTTTTTTATTATTTTTATAAAATGTAAGTGCGCATTTGACCTCCATCTCACTTGATTTAAAGTGACGAAGAGGTCGATGATGGAGCACACCTAAATAATGCCTATTCACTCCTATTTTCAAATGGCCCAAGTTATAACGTTCAGGGAACAAGTCTACAGGCAGGGAATTCCACTCCATAGCCGTTCGCCATATAAATGTGAATCGTAACGCTTCGTGCGAGCGAATCTTTGGAATATCCACAACATAGGGGTGGAACCCAAGCCTACGCCTAGTCCCCCGGTGATGGAAAGCGGAAGGCGGAATTAAATCGTGTAATTCCATCGCACACTCTCCGCGATATATCCTATAAAATACCGATAAGCAGGCAACTCTAAGGCTCTAAGGTGTTCAACGCTCTGCAACTTCGCCTCTACTAATTCCCAGTTAGCTATAAGCCTCTTATCACGGTTGTCAATAGAATCCAAGGTGTCCATTGGGCAGAGCTATTGTAGCAGAGCCATCCCAAAGATGGCAGCAATAATCCATAAACGATCGGACTTGTGCTTGGTACAGCTGAAGCAACTGTCCCGGTGTAAATAACGCCTCACCCTGGAAAGGATGCCAAGCTTCCTTGATGCATTTTTGGCCATGGATTGAATGTATCTGCCGAAGTTCAAATTGGACGACAGGTCTATTCCAAGTAGCTGGAGACAGTCGGCAATCGGTATGGATAAATCACGAAAACTTGGAGTCCGCTCAAAGGACTTCGTTTTTGTGGAGAATAGATACACCTGCGTTTTGGTATTCAATTATACGCGATTGACACGGAACGGGACATGAATAATATCGGCACATATACAATTTTGCCAATTCCCGTCCCGTATACTGCGACCTTTAATAGTTAAAGTCATAGGTAGGTATAAACTGCTGTAGGGACTCGTATCGTCGATCTCGTTATTTACCGTTCCTATTATGGACCGTGGCTTACAACGCAGTAAGTGAACCTTTCCCCATAAAAGTAATTATAACAACAACTTTATTTGCATATAATATTCTATGATATGTTTCATAAGTCTGTAAATATTATAGTTCAAAGAACATCTCGACGCTGCTAAAAACAATAACATTCAGCCTATTGAAAGTGCCGTCAATGTTGATGTTCTCAAGTTTGACACTTTGGACTTTGTACCGTTGTTATTTGTTATCATAAGCTTGTGTCGAGTACAATTAAAATCTTAGGACTTTATTACAATCTCAAATGGATTTGGTTGATTCAGTAAAAATATATAATAAAATTGAGGATATTATACGCTGATTATACGATAACACGATTCCTAAAAATTGTCACGATAGAAAAAAAAACACAAACTTACCTCGAAATTTTACAAGAAAACCGCTGTATTTAACCTTTGAAATATCTTTATTTTACATATACCAATGAGTTTTGTTATACAGTTCTCAATTGGCTTTAATTTTGTTGTAATCATTAGTACAAAGATCGACCACACAGAAAAAATTCCTTCGATCCGGTCGGATTCGAACCGACGTCTTCTTGCATACCGTGCCAGACGCTATACCAACTAAGCCACGGAACGAACCAACGGACCCAACGAATTTTTCTATGTGCTTGCGTCGTGTCTTTGTATTTGGTTTTTCAACGACTTTTTAGTCGTAGCGCCATCTATGAGACATCTATGAAAGATTTATCACCTTTACAGCTACTAGTCCTGGCGAGAGATGTCGCTATTGTATGTGTATTGTACTGTATTTTAAGTTTTTATTGAATTGATATTCAACTATTTTTTGTGAAATTACTCCACTGGTTTGTTGTAATCATTAATACAAAGATCGAACGCTCAGAAAAATTTAATTTTGTTTCTAAAATAAATAAATAAAGCCTGTGTCCCTGCCGGTCGACTCAAGCAATATGAACTCTACTAGCACGGGAAAATTTTGAATTCGAGCTGAGCGATATACTCTTAAGTGTTAGGTTTGACTTTTTTTATGATATCAAGCAAACGGATGAATAAGTCGTCTGCCTGGTGGTACGTTACAAGCCAATCCATAGCAGTTGCCGTGTCACAAAGAGCTTTAAATCGTAAAGATCTGAAGGGCACCATCGCTGCACCCGTCACCCGGAGTCATAAGTTAACAAGTCCCATTTGCCTATAATTTCATCAGCACGCTTTTTCTTCAAAACCGAAACACAATTTTCTTCACAAGGAACTGCTACTAAAAAGTCTTAATCAATCGTCTTAATCATAAACAACTTAGTGTTATATAGCTACGTCATAAATAATAATAAAAGATTTTTTTTAACCGACTTCAAAATAATGAGGAGATTCTCAATTCGAATGTATGTTTTTTTATTATTACTTATATTATGCATATGGTCCCATTAAAATTTGTAGAAAATATTCTACCTCTAAGGGTAGAAAATTGAGGAATGAAACCGGTTTCGCGCACTTTCTGGTAACCGATTTCAATAAAGCGTGGCAGAATAGAGGTATTTCCAAAAATTTTTGAGGTCAGTTTTTTATAAAAAGGTTACAATTTTATATCGAACTACGTAAATAGCTTTTTTGGTAATAGTTCTAAATTATTCTCCATTCGTGATAAAAACGACAATATAGCAAACATAACACGCACAAGGAAATAACATTAGCTATACCTCATACTAAATGTGAAAGTATAGCAGGCATATGAGCATATTTAGTTTTTAAAAATGCACTTTATTACATATTATTACTATGACGAATGCTAGATATATCTTATGGCACATCGTAAGTGTTAATTAAGAAGGAAACTCTGCATTAAACAGTGATAATTACCTAGTTTTGTAATGCTAAAAATATTTTAATTGATTACTGTACGCATCTACTATGCTAGTTCATATTGCATTGTATGAAAGTTATTTCGACAGACAGTTTAGTGAGTGTGAAAAGTAGAATAACTTGAGTAAATAACATGTAAAGTAAATATAAAGAATTTACTATGCGTGTAATTTTAATTTTAGTTACATAAGCAATATGCGTCTTAATTATCTACTCGGTTCAACGTTGTAGGTGTTATTATAGTATATAATTTTGGTGCTTCGCGTATAGCGATTGAGCCAAGGAAACAATGATTGGGAGCGAAAATTTATAATTTTTAATTTATATCTTATTTTTCATTTAGTACAGGCCACGTGACATATCATAGGGACTAACACTACATATAATTAAAACACTATTTTTAACTAATCTACACGAATTGCACTTGTCGATGATGTAACCTGTAACCTGTCACGAGATCGCCGATAGATGACACCCTTCGGCCAATATTCTTCCTACGTGAAGGTTGACAGATCGGCACAATCACCACAAACGAATTAAAAAAATCACGTTATGGTGGGACTCCAACCGCTCGACTCTCAACTCACACTGGCGCAGTGTCGAAGCGTCGCGACGCGTCATGTTTTTCGCCTATAGCATATTCATCTATATTTTCCCATTAATAAGGTACAAAAGGCGTCGGACGCCGACCAAACTGTGATCCCGGGGCGCATTAACGCGAGCGTCGTCGCCAGGCGGTGTAGTTGAAAAACAGGACGCGACGCGACGCTTCGACCCTTCGCCAGTGTGTGTTGAGCCTAAGGGTGTATTTAGCCTTATGTCTGATTTACTCCACTATCTCTTCAGACTTCGTATTAATTTTGAAAGCAAAGTATTATAAATGTTGCATACAAAGGGACAGCTGAAAGACATAAAGGTCTCAATGGACGCAGAAGGAACTTCAATTTGTGAAAAGGAGTGTAGAAAAATTCATGATCATAGCTGACAATAATATTATTTTACCTCCTTTTTTTTAAAAAAAAAAGTGCGCATTTGGAACACGCGATTACTCTTGCGATTCATAGGCGATTGCATTGTTTTAAGCAGCGATGCATACGCGATGCAAACGGGCGGTGGCATCCAAGCAATCGCTTTTATATCACAAGTGTATCGATGGAATCGCGCGTTTGTATCGATGCAGTCGCGCGTTTGCATCGCGTATGCTTCGCTACTTAAAATCGCGTGTCTATAAGGCTGCCTTTCCACCAAAGCTGTGTGAATGCATTATGAACTCTTTTCAGCTATGCGCGGGCGGTGTACGGTGTGATGGGGTGAGCGGTGGCGATGTGTCAGTATCAGTTAGTGTCATACTTTCAGTAGCTCTAGTTTCCTACATCGTTTTGCACACATTCCTCGCCCGCATCCCTTGCACATATTCCTCGCACACATTTCTCGCTATTCTGTATGTACAAATACTTGGCTCCGCTAACACTTATCCACCGGAGCTGCGCTAAGCGAGGCTAGGAAAATGGGGTAATCCTATTGGTGGATTTTTCTCGCACACTGCATCGCTACATCTCTGGTGAACTGCAGCCTAAAGGTAGACGATTAGCTACTGCATCGCTTCTGCATCGCGTTCACATCGCTGCTAAAAGCCGACGTGTCTAACCGCCCTTTGACTTCCATCTCACCTGATG